ACAACACCACATTTTGTTTAAGATATTAATCTCTCATGGGTTGCATATCTAAAAATATAATTCATGAGAAAGTATAATGCAATTGTTCGGGCTTTGATGAATTGGGGCATAATGTTAAATAATTATTCATTGCCTTTATTCTTCTGTCTAAGTGTGCAAAAAAAATGCAGCTTTTTATTGCTTTTTTTTATATAAAGACATGGGCCTTTGTGACGTCCATTTTATTTTAAACTAATGCTTCTATTATTCCACATTTGAATAATTATAGCTGACCACATCTACTCTTCCGTGACCTAGAAAGAAGATCTTTAGCTCTAGCACACCGTTACATATTTTATGCATTACATGAAATAAAACACCTCAAGATTTCAAAAATATTTATTTTAAAAACAGCATTGAAATTGTCTGTAATCACATTTTCTGCTCTGCTTTGAAAGCAGCATTATTCAATATGCCAGTGGTCTTTTCCATAAGAGCAACATATTAGAAATTCATGCTGCTCTAATATATCTGAATTCCTTGATGTACTGCACTCCCTATAGACCTAAAGAAACATTTTTGCTTCAGTTTCATATGTCCTGCACATTTCCTACTGATGTGGTGGTTGTCAAAACAGTTGTACAGTAGCCTTTGAATTCAAAGTGTGCCTTGACTGTATACTAAAAATGACAATAAACCTAAGTATATACATTATGCTGGCTTTTGTTGCTAGCACAAGTAGAGCATTTGGGAAATCAAACACCTGATTTTGTTGTCTTTTAACATCTTTTCCATTTTAAACTTAAAGACCAGAATTTTGAAGCATTTCAAGAAAATGAAATCTTCTTGCAAATTTTCTATGGTATACCATCATGAGCCACATTTTCAAAAAGATCAGCACAAGATTACAAATGAAAGCATTCCAAAAATAGGTTGGGTTTTTTTTTCCAACTATGTAAAAACAGCACTGTGATTTTTAACCCTGGTTTCTTGTAGAAAAAAACCAACTATCTGTAGGATACACTAAAGAAGACAGAATGTCTATAATTTTATTGATACACAGAAAAAACTTTATAGAACACATTCAAAAGCATTTTTATAGATAAATATACATTCTCATACAACATGCATTTTCTGCAAATGTTAGAAGGGTAATTCTTGTGGTCCTTGAAAATATCCTTTGGGATATTTCAGGAAAACGCACATCAACAGAAAAAGGCTGGCAGGTCAAGCCCCAGCTGGGATCTAACCAAACCCACACAGTCTTCATCTGGTAGGAAAGCAGGAAGGGATCCCTGTTCCATTATATAGAAGCAAAGATGTTTACAGGACCATAAGTACATTTTCATTAAACAAATACTTCTATCTATATCAAATTGCATCCAACTAAGAAGCAGGAATAGAAGTCATATCCGTTTTGAAGGAGGATTTTAAGGGCTCCCATGATGGGGCTGGACTGTGGGTTAATACCACCATAACTCCCATTCTGCACAAATTTTGTAGATTTCTGAAGCCCTGATATCCAGACATAATGAGCGCCTAAATAAATCTGTATGTGACAGCATGATAAAAATTAACGTACATGTGCACGTGTATGTTCTGTATGTCAACTAAGAATACAGAAATATACAAACATATAAGTAAATATGTGAACTGACAGCAGAATAATGAGAAGGGAAAATTTTAGTGGTTTTGTTGTTTGATTTATTTTTTTTAAGTAGTCGGCATGCAGTATGAAAGTCCGATCAATCAAAAAAACTTCAAAGAAGGTTAATTCCAAATTTAAGACACTGTCAATGGCAATGAGAAATTTTCATCTCCCAGCACTACAAATTTTTTTTTAGAAAGAATTCCCACAGTGTAAGAATCTGTAAGAAGCCAATCCCTAGTATGAATTCACTGAGCTGGTAGTGGGCTCTTATTGTGTGTATTTAAGCACTTCTGCAGAGGAGAATTCTTAGAGAGATTGGGGTAAATCCTGCCATCCTTACTGAAAGGGATTTTATCTTCAGCTTGGAGGGAGTACTGCACAGCATGAAACAGGGACTTCTGATGGGAGGAGATTTGAGGGGGTTTTAGAAAGGGTACATCCTCAATTTTCAATCTGTCCAAAATCACAGAAATCCTCATGTGAAAACACCTGGTAGTTGAGATGGAAGAAAAACACTATACTTAGTGTATGAACTATTTTCTAACTGTTTCTGAGCTCACTGATATTCCGTTCTTACATTTGGCTAGTATTAAGTAATGTTTTGTCTATAAGAACACAAACTGAAAAACACTCACTAGTTCTAACACAGATAAAATAGAAGGTATTATTTCTAAAATACCAAAATGGGTTAAAAACTAGCTGTTTAAAGTAAAGAAAAAAATAACCAAATTCTATTAGAGGCACATTGCAATGCAGCTGAATTTGTCCCAATGTAAGTAAAATTTGCTGAAGATATGAAATTAATTAGGGATAGAGAACAGCCAACAGATTTGCTTCTAAGAATATTTTTTCTAAAAATACCCATTAGTGCCCTGAAAAATGAAGTGAGACACATGTTTTCCAAGTACACTAAACGGTACTTGATATACTAGAAATTATATGGAACCAAGGGTTTAGATAGATTGGAGAAATTTATAAATTATGTTCTGCATGAGGCAATATAGGAGTGATTTAGACAAGAACATGTTAAATGGATCAGAGTTTGATGAGATAGTAAAAAGGAAACTTGGAGATGAGTAATACCACAAGAAAAGAGTCATATTGAAAAAAAAGGTTAAATGTTCTGGATTTTAGAGATTCAAAACTAAGTAAAGAATGTTAACTCTACAAAATCCCATGTTTTTCTTCATCAGTGCAAAGTCAAAAGAACAATGGGGTGATTCTATTAACTGAAAAAGTCGCTGAATTCACTGAAGAGTTAAATTATTTCCCTCAAGTTAATTGCTCTCCAGTTATCAAATTCAAATCAGAGGAGCTATACTGCCAAACAGTGTTTGAACTGTATGAAATCGAGGTGTTAACATCATACCAGTTGTATTAACATGAGCTGTAGCTTCATCCCCTGCACAGACAAGCCAGCTTGAGTTCAAACTATTGCTAAGTAAGGGCTGCTTTTGTGCAAAAAGGGCATGCAAGTTAGGGATAACAGTTGACTTAGCACATGACACTTCAAGGATCATGCTTTATTTATTGAACAAATCCTCAGAAATTATTGCCAAAATTCAGCACATATTTTCTTGACATCTCTTTTTCATCTCTTCTGATCTTCACTAAGTTCTAACAGCAAAATTACCTAGCTATATTATTCAACTTTTTTGTATTTTCCCTCAATGTGATTATTCACTGTGATGATCTACACACTCTCAAGGCCCTTTGTTCAGAGCTTGTTGCAAAAGGTTAATGTGAAACATCACAGCTTAAAAGAATGCATAGTTCTGAGCCATAACCATGGCTCAAAAGAGGTCAATTCAATGAAATACTGCCTGTCTTGACTAGAGTGTCAAGCATTTCTTTTACTTTTCCAAGTTCTTTCATAGCTCTGATTCTCAGAACCCTACACAAGATTTCACTCAAGCTCTTTAATGCATGCCATCAGCTTTGCAGACAAGCAAGGAAAATACAGGCTCTCTCCATAGAGCATATTTATATTTCTCTATATAAATCTGCCTCTTGTCCACTCCTCCCATTATTGAACATAACCCTGGGGTCAGATTCTGACCTCAAACACAAAGTGTGCCACATCCTCGTAAATCAATAACAACTGTGCAACATATAAGAAGCCAATACTTGTGCCCTCTGCTTTTTTGGACATCCTTGGAGGGAATGCAGAGCTCCTCAAAATCAAGGTAGCTTTATTTTAATTAAGTTGCAATGAAGCTATATGACAAAGCAGATTTTTGTTTTAAACTATGTCTTTTCCAGCCACCATGGTCCCTGACTCTGGGGCTGTTAGTCTGAGGGGCTGATGGGAACTGAACCTAGATCCCTCACTACACAAACCTCCCTGTGTTTTGTCAGCTCTCAGGTTCCCAGGACTGATTTATGTTTTTTTAGATAATGTGGTGGGGAGCTAGCAAGCTGGGAAGCTTAAACAGCCTCAGTCACTAAGTGCAGAACTTTTGGTGAGAAGCCCAGACCCTTTATCTCTAGGAACAATAGATTCCTATCTTTGGCTGTTGGGATCTGCAGCTCCTGGGCAGCCCATCTAGCCCACCTAATGTTTGAAATGCTGTGGGATATAGAAAATGTTAGGCTCCATCCTCTTTCATGGGATTTTTAACTCTTTGGGTTAGAACTGTACATCAATCTGAAATAATCTTGTCTGGAGCTTCTATGCAAGAAGTATACTAATTAATTGTAGAGCCCACTTGAAAATGTAACGTGTAAAGTAGCTCTGCAGTTGTTGCAACCAATTTAACATTCAAATAAGTGATTTATAATATCAGGCTTCACAAGATTATGACCATAATGACTATCTGACAGACTTTATAAGCAAGTTGTCCAGTCATTTCAATTGCATTCTGGCTGGCTAAGGACTGGGAACTGTAAAAAGGCTGTAAGATTTGGCCTAGAATCAGAAATAACATTTGCTGTTTTCCAAACGTGCGGTAAACAAGAAAGGAGATATTAAATTTTTGTACATCTCTCAGCACATGCAAATGAGAATGGAAAGAGCCTCATCAGACAAATACAGAACAACAGCCATCTGGATCCAAACTCTGCTCCAGCAGAAGTCAGAGCCTTGAGCCTCTTTCTGTCATTATTTACATCCCTGTAAAGGATAACTTTCTACCCAAGGTGGAGGAAGGTAACACTCTGGATTTGAGGAACTCAGCTAAAAATTCCCCCTCACCTCCACCAGGGTGAAGATCTGACACAAGGAATGCAACGTAACTCCCAGAGTCAGGCCAGGGCACTCCAAAATTTGAGTGGGGCAGGTGTTGGTCCCCTTGAAGGATTTCAAACAGGTCTGTATTTCCATTACTTTGCACTTAAAACAGAACAGAAGGGAAAGACTAAAAGTGCTTACCACAGAGAGGGAATTGGAAAGCAGTGTCCCGTCTTGGCCAAGCATGTTGGAAACTGTAATTTCAGGTAGATCCATGTTTTGAGGGTGGAAGGGAAGGAGGCCATTGTGGTTCATGGGATGACACAGAGAGTGGTACCCAGACTCTATCTCATTCAAGTGCACCAGGGAGTGGTCAGGCAATGATGGAGGAGTTATAGGAGGTATGTTAAAATCTTCACTTTCGAGACTTGGGCCAGGAAAAGACTGGAAAAAACCAAACAAACCAACAAACAGAAATTGCTATGAAAATCATATGAGCACTGGTCAATAATAACAATAAAAATCATACAAAACAAACAAAAAGAGCAAACGTACACTTCTAAGCACGATCTACAATTTAATAAAAAATATTTTCAAGACCCATATATTATACAAGTGAAGTCTCACCATTATGTATGGAGGAAAAAACGCCTCTAAGGCATAAGAATCTGTGATACTTTTCCCTTAGAAATATTTTTTTAAGAGAAGGTGAAGTCAAACAGATTTCAAGGGTCCTATTAAAATTTTCCGGGAGTGTTCATCTAGCTGAATACCTTTTTCAAGGGAATTGTGGAAAAGGGAATGCAATTTATAAAATTAATATTGGCACAAAATGGTTCATTTTGCTTCCTGCTATTCAGACCAAGAATTACATAGTGAAGAAAGATACCGCTTTTATGCTTATGGGAGTGCCATGCATTTACTCAGCTAGAAAGAAAAAGAAACAGTATGTAGCCAGTATGAGTATACTTTGTATTTATAAAAATGCATTTGAAGTTTTTTTAAAAATAATTTTTTTTTCCTTTCTTAATCTATAAACTGAATTTTACCTACATTTTGTCAGTTATCTGAATTAGTAACTCCACCAAACAACAGTTAGTCTTTTGTTGTCTGCTGCCATTAAGTCATCCAACTCAATCTGATCCAAGGAAAAGCCACAGGCAAAGTCAGAGTAATGCACCAACGTGGATAATTGCTATTATTTATCTACAGTTTTTGTACAGCAGGTAGGCTCATTTGTAGGATAGGGTGGATACGTGTGTATTTCTAAAAAGGAAAAGGTGAACATAATAAAGGGTTAAAGAGATGAGTTGCAATGGCTCAGCCTGAAAGCCTGCTCTGCTTTTCTGAGAACAGCCAACTCCTTTGCAAAGTGATCAGTCTTTGCACATCCCATGCCCACAGTCAGGAGATTTATAGCACAGTGACTACTCCCACCCTTCCTGCCCCTCTTCAGCACAGCAGTCCTGCTCTGAGTGCTGCTTTTGTTAATTCTGGAAATGCAAGGATTTAAATACATTCTGCTCCTGAAAAGTATCACCAGAAAGGTTGAGTAGGAGGGCAGAATTTCAAAGAGCAGCTATAGGAAGAAGATGTTTTTCCCAATATGAGTTTCCCAGTGGAGGATAACACAGTGTATGAATTCATGCAGAAGGACAAGGGGACAATCAATGGCCAATTATAAACAAAGGGATTTTTCATTAGTCATCATAGTAATAACGTTATCCTGATGCCTGAGGTTACTCTCCTCTGTACAAGCATGTATATATGAACTTAAATCAGACAAACCAAACAGTATTACAGGTTTTCAGTGAGCTGGTGAAAAAGCTTACAGAAAAACCTCCTCTTATGGACATAATTTACACTGGATGGTAAAGCAGCCATGGTTTTGACTGCTTTGTTGTTTTTGTTTGTTTGTTTTTTTTTTTTTTTTCCCAAAAAGATTTTAATCTCTTTACCAAATATCTTAGTATGAAATAGAATAGGAAGTCTGGACTGGAAAGGCCAAAGTAAAATCCCCAAAAATGAAAACAACAGAACAGGGTTTGACAGTGTTTGACATCACTGTTATGTGTGAGGACTTTGATTCTACACATGCATTCCAGCTGTGTTTCTCACCCTCAGCACAGGAGTTTGCTCTCCCTCTGCCCCTGCTTTCTTTTTAATGGCAAGCTGGAGTGAGTCTACTGACCTCTGTAAGTTGCATTTTCCCCCACTTTTACAAGCCATGATGCAGCCATTTCTCCAAGGGGAAATACAGTAAAATGGACCCTCACTAAAGGGAGAGAAGGCTTAAGCATGGCAAAGAGAACATCACATTTACTCAATAATAATGTATAAATTTTGCAAAACCAAATAAAAGTATTAGGGACAATGCATACACTAGCTAGTTGCTAATTACTATTATATAAAATCCATGACGAAGGAAAAGGTGTCTAAAGTGAGTTTAAGATCTAATACCACAGTAACTAAACAGCAACAGAGAAGAGAAATGAAGGAAGGGATGACATCCATAATGCTCTCCTGGACGAGTGCTATCCCTGCAGGTACACTTAGATTTGGTAACCGTAATCTTGGTGAGCTTAGATCCATGTAGCCTACAGCTTCCAGGAGAGATTCGTTAGCTGTGAAAAGATGACTTTATGTTCAACATTGTCTTTTCAAATGTCCCAGAAGACTTATGACCTCAAAAGAGTTTTCTCTCCCTGGATTTTGCAGGTAGAAAGTATTAACATCTATTTTCTCTATCCTGCACTGTCCTGTGAGACTCAAGTTTGCTAGTAAAAGCAAATATTCCTAAATCAAATATTGACAGGATATTGGAGGCACTTAGCATATTTGTACACCTCTTTCTGCATGTTATATGGATGGACCAGGCTTTACTTTTGATTCTTAGTGTTTGAAATGTGTCTTTAACTAGTAATACTTCAAAAATGGTGGAATCAATTAACTGCCAGTAGGACACTAGCTTCACTTAAGAAGGAAGCACTAGCAGCTCCACAATCCAAGATGTGTCATGTGTAGGTATATAATAATGTTATACATATTATATGGGTTAAGAATTTTAAATAAATGCCTGTTCTCTGATTAATTAAAAAATTAAAAAAAACCAAAAAACAAAAAACAAAACACACAATGGTTGTTGCTTGTGAACCATTTAAGAGTGTATTTGATCCCACATCACCTAGAATATCACTGTTCACAACACATAAAAGTAGGATTAGAATACCAAAAGCTGTAATGACACACCAAATAACATATAATTCAAATTGTAGTACCTCCTATGTTTCTCTGTTTTCAATTTTTTCTTAAGACATAAACTATTTACTACTTCAGTAAAGCTGGGCAGAATCCAAGTTATATGCTAATGGTATGGACAGATATTCAAAAGCATCTGCAGAGCACCCTATTCACCTTACGTTTTCAGCCAATTTGATATTTCCAAGCTCAGTATTGTGTGCATGTAACACATAGAGACTTAATTTCCTCAGGGAAGTTACTTCAACAGTGATTTGCTGGTATTCATTTGTCTCGTCCAGGAGCTTGGTTCAGATGCTTGTAATGACTTAGCACACTGGATATCAAACCCAAAATTCCTAGATACATCTGCAGTAAACCCAACATATCCCAGGAACAAGGCTGTTGCAACTGTGCCTGGAGGAAAGGCACGAGGAATGGGACATGTGCTTGTCCTGTGAATAGCAGCTACAAGCTTCAAACACCCACTCCTACTTTCCTGCCACCTCTCTCCTTGCCGTTGGAAAACCTATTTTAGTAACCATCTGGGGTCCCCTTGATGCAACTGATCCACTGCTGGCAATGGGCTCTCCTGGAATGTTGTATTGTCACCTTCTTCTGTAAAGAGAAATTTTAGGAAAATTTACCAAAAAAGCAGTCTCGAGCTTAACCCTGCAGCAAGAACCCAACTCCCAGACCAGCCATCATCCTGTCCCAGTCTCTGGACTTCCTTAGAGCACCACTTCTTCCAACACAAGCTGTTTATCTGGAATTTCTAATTAAAGCAGTTATCTAGCATCCAGAGCATCAGGGAAGGCTGTACTCCCTGTATCCAACAAGTCATAAGTATAGCTCATATGTATTAGTATACATAGTATCAGCTCTGTTAGGTTTTTCTTGGGGATGGGAAAGGTTAGGATCTTTCCCCTCCACTCCAAGGGTTTTTCCTTCATAACTGATTTTCCTATCAGCAGGATTTGCTCTATTCAGAAAGATATGGAATAGCTCCTTTTTATTCTACTGGTCACAGAAACCTCAGCAAGCTCACCTTTTCACTTTTGAATAACAAAACAAAAACAAAACCAAAAACAAAACCCCAAAACAAGCAAACAAACAAAACTAGCAGAAATGCTTTATTTTCTTTACCGCAGAGATACTAGGAACTTTGCCAGTGATTTCACTTTCAACTCATGACTATAGGAGTGAAAGAGGTGTTAATCAGCTCTTCAGTTTAAGGGAGTTTCCTAGGCCTTTATTACATTCCAGAAAGAAAGCCCTCTGCAAATTAACACCACTAAACCAACTGCACAGCACTGAACAGACACAGGCTTAAACTTTTATTTATTTTAAAGAGCATTTTCATTACACCTGTGTTATAAACAGAAACATTACACCTGTGTATAAACAGATTTCTGTCTAGTTCAGATGGAATCTACACAGTGGGAACCTCAGAAGTGATTATCCTTACATTTGAGCTATCTATAGACGAAATGTTATAGAAGATTTTTGAATTAAGAATGTCTTCCCAAATTTAGAGGACTATATTTTATGTTTCTGGCTAAATATTTGTGACATTTCTACTTGAAATTATGTAAACTCCATAAAACAGATGATTGACATGCCCACTCTGAGATCAGGAGGCTTATCTATATGTTACCTTGGCATACCATTTTATGAGAAAAGTTTGCCAGAATAAAATGATATAAACACTGAACCCTGACTCACTGTCCAACCCAAATCCAAGATTTTGTTTCTGAAGAAGACCCCATTGGTCCTGTCCTACTTTTTAGGCTGGTCAAATCCATCAACAAGCTATGGAAGGAGGGGCAAAACTGGGACACTGAGAGGAAGTGTATGTCATGAATCAGTTCTTTACTTTGGCAAGACATAATTCAATTTATGGTTATGCATCCAACTGTGCTGATAACACAAATACAGAAAAAAAAAATCTAGTATTTACTTTTGAGGTTACTCATCAGAAAAATAAGGGAAATGCTGGCGGGAGATACAAATATAGCCCCTTTCCTTAAGTACTCTACAGTAATAACTGCATACTGGCCAACAAAACTTACTTATGTTCCAAAATAATTTTAATAGAACTTTAAAAAGTTATAAAAGAAGGCAAATCAAAGGAGGAGGCTCAAACAGACTGACCACAGGAGGCAGCAAGCTTTCAAACACCCAGTGTAAATCCCTTGGAAAGAGCA